GGCGCAGCAGCTGGCTCCACATCGAAAAGGCCGCTTTGAAATTGCTCGGGCCTGTGCGAAAGCCGCCACCCCAAAAACCTGCAGTGTCTTGTGTCTGGACCTCTAGGCCCTGTCCAGTGGGGTGAAACGACATTGAAAAATCAACCCATTATTTTTTTAGGGGCGGCCAAGACCCGATAAACGTCAAGGGCCGCCCCAATTTGTTTTTTGATTTTTGCCCCAGAGGCCTCAATCCAGACATATTGTCCAAACACCGGACACCAGACACCGGACACCGGACTGTCTGGAACCCGGTCCGGACGTCCGGACGGTTACCATGCTTTTTCCATATCGAGCATTAGAATGACCACCTCTTTTTTTTCCTTCGCAAGTACTTCAAGGGTTTGCAGGGTAGAAAGGATATTGTCGAAAATGGACCGACCCTTGACGAAGGTTCCCTATTCTCTCCCGACCACTTCCGGGAGGACATCGACCAGCCTAAGGGCCAACACTTTTGCCAAAAGTTTGTAGGAAACGCTTAGGACCGATATAGGTCTCCAATTGCGTATTTCCCGCTTGTCCCCTTTTTTATACAATAGTGAAATCATTTCATTGACCATCCCTTTTGGGAGCGTACTCGTGTAAAGAGCATCATTAAAAATATCGCAAAAGAACTTTACAAAAGAATCCCACGAGGAGAGGAAAAACTTTATGCGTAGTCTGTGTGGCCCCGGACGTTTGCCTTTGGCCATACGATGTGCCGCACGAGTAACGTCATCTATTGTGATAGAATCTTCTAGGGTCTGGCCCAACAAGTGGGAGACCGATCTCAATGGGCAATCCCAATAGGAGTGAGTATCTGCCAAGTTGGTGTCAAAGGAGTCAAAAGGTTTTATAATAGCTACTATATCTCTGAAATATTTCATCGCGTTGTCGAGCGCATCGGCCCTCGCGTGAGCGAGGGCCCTCCCGGCCATGTCACGCAGGAGATAAACAAAACAAATTCAAGAGACAACTTAGGACGATACATAAATAATCCCGCGAGCCGCCGAGACGGTGCGCGGTCGCATCGTCCCTCGCCGCTCTGGCCGGGTGCGTCAGCAATACATCCCGCGGTCCCCTACGACAGGATAGGTTCCCACGGGGCATTAGTTACCTTCCCTAAGAGGTTGTCACCACCCTTAGGGGCGTATCCCTATCGAGCTACCGACCCACTTGCGAAGCTTTTAGATGTAATTGCAGAGGTAGGTCAGTCGATGGCGTTTGCTCGTTCGTCGTAGTATAGATACGTTGGTTAACGCCAAGTGGACCCGAACGTCCTTCATTCCTTAGGGCGCTGGTCTCCTAAGTACGAAGCGGACGTCGGTCGACTAGGACGGTCTCAACCAAGCGTGAAACCACAAAATTAATCCTAGTCCCTTAGACACACAATCAAAAAAATATGTAACAACCGTACAATCGCCAACGAGAAGTTGACTATCAATAATAACATTGATGCAGCCGACAAGGTAGTCGGACTGCCTTAATTTTGACTTGATGAGACACGCTGCCAAAATTATTCATTCTAACTAAAGTCGACCTATGATTAAACACGCATACGCCTATCTCCCTACATTCTCAATTTTCCTGGATGACAGGTTGCTTCACGGATAATTTTTGATCAGGGGCACTGCTTGAAGTGTTGCATGCCTCTTCCTCTAGGAAGTGGTCTGTGGATACTCCTTCCCCTCGCCTGAGCCCGAAGACCCAGATCTCAGAGGTTGGGCCGTCACCACCGAGTCGGCAAAGTACCACCCCCGACAAGTCGGCTCCACTCCAAGTCGATGTCAGGGCCGGCTCCGAAAGCATACGAACCCCCGCCTTGGATGCTTTCTAGAGAAAAGAGAATGCGTTCGCCGCAAGTAGTTTTCAATTATTTTCATCCCTTCTCGTTTCATGGTAACTCAGACGCAAAGAAATTGAATGAGATAGAGAATGAGAATTACTTTGACAGGTATAAATATAGAAGGTCATTTTGAATACAATGTGTCAGTCCTGAGAAAATGCTAAGTCCAATTGACTGCACTTTCTTTTTATTCACAAGTTTTCTTTCATGGCACCTGTTGAAATTACTCATTTCGGACTTCAAGTACACTTGTCATGCAGGCAGGTGAAAGATAGAAACATGACAATCCTTTTCTCCATCCCAAATAGGCAAAGTCAATCTTCATAGCAAGCATCCTTCTCCCTACCTGCACAACATGCAAAGGAAATACGTTCAAAAGAAAACAGTACAATCCCATACTCAAGTCAGACCTTTTCACTCACATGCATGATTCACACAACTTCCTCTGCCTTTTCTTTTGAACATTCAAAACAACAAAGTCAAGCAAAGTGTGGGTTCACATGGGTGTGAAGGGAAATCTGAGTCATTCGACTGACCTTGAGTGAAGTTTGATCCGGCTCACTCAAGAAAGCCAAGAAATATTCCAGTCAAAGTTGAGAAGACGATCGCCGTCGAGGCTGGAAATTTGCAGCTCACAACTGCACAATTCGTGGTCGTTCCACTGAACGAGAGCCACCTCACCTTCCAAGTGCTCGTATGAGCGAAAGTCACCTCCACTGAAAGACTCAAGTGAGATAGCCCTCCAGGAGGGTGTTCCCAACCATGAGTCCCATGTAGTCCCAACAGTCCCAACTGTACTTCCCTTACCAAGGATACTCTCAATCAATCGCAAGTCCATGCCTTCTCCAGATACCACGTACGCTCACAATAGCCACCACAATATGTCGGTTCTGATCTTCAAAATCAGACCCACTTGGTCCCAAAATGGTCCCAGATGGTCTCACGTCGCTGCCACAGCACTGGATGGTCCCACTCTCAAATCTCGCTTGCACTGCGCATCGTCCAAAAAATAAAGGTGGCCCTAGTTGAAACTGCATGTGTTGCGAGCCTCCCAAAAATAGGGATGTCATTCTGGCGCAAACCGCAAGCGCTGCAACTCCAGTAGTCATTGTCGCAAGCACTCACTCCGCGTCCTCCTTATGTCACCGGCCCACGCATCACTACCGCACAGTTTCAACCACGCACCAGCGCTGGCCCAACCTCTAGGCCACACTGAGATCCACCGTGACTGCCGCACACTACAAAAATAACGTGGACCACTGCTTGCCGCGCCGTCAAAACCGGTACCCCGCCGTCGTGCCAAATAAAATTAGCAGCAGCTCACACCAAAGTGCCTCTGCCGCCACTACTGTGAGAATCCGGCAGCGCTTCCGCACTACTGCCGTTAAACCCAGTGTCGTCGCCGCAAAAGTCCGGCAGCGCTTCCTCACCACCGTCGTTAAACCAATGCCACCGCCACAAAATTTCGGCAGCGCTCCCGCACCACCGCCACTAAACCCGGTGCTGTCGCCGCAAAAATCTGCAGCGCTTCCGCAGTACGTCAACAAACCACACTGCCGCCGCCGTGCAAAACGGGCAGCACCTCCCCTGCACCACTTGCCGAAGACCTGCCGTCGCCGCACAAAACGGGCAGAACCTCCCCTGCACCGCAACAAAAACCAGTTCCGCAGCCGCGCAGTGTAGGCAGCACCTCCCCTGCACCTCACCAAGTGACGCGGCGGTTATGGCAGCCTCTCTTTTCCCCTCTCACTGCAGACCTCCATTGTCCTCTACTAGTAGCACTTCCTCCTCTCCAGCAACACCACCCCACAGCAGCAGCCAGCCAGCATTCACTAAGGTGAATGGCCCAGCAGCACTGCCACAAGTGTGAGGCTGCTGGGTGGAGTGCTGGCTTTTATAGCCAGTTGAAGGCAAGTGGGCATCTGCTTTGCCCACTGCCAAGTAAAATTCGTCAGAGCTCCTGGCCCTTGATCTAAATCAATGGCCAGGAGTCTTGTGCCTTGGTTTCCCCTTCGGGGAACTAGGGTCATAAGTTCCCTGGTGCACCTGGTCGTTTCCCTAGGCCAGGTGCTCTTGGAAATGGTTGTACTCAGCCATTCCAGGACTGCCTGCACTGTCCCATCAGCCCCTAGAAACTTCTAGGGGTTGCACCTGTTCTGCGGCCGCGGCCACATTCATGGCCGTTACTCTTTGTTTTCTTTCTTACTTTTTTTTTTTCTCCCCCCCCTTTTTTTTTTCTTTCCTTCACTCCCCCTCGTTTTCTTTGTGAGGGGCAACTCGCCGTTCGAAATGAACGGCCGCCCCCCCCCAAGTCATTTCACAGAGTCGAACTAGAGTCAAGCTCCACAGGGTCTTCTTTTCCCCTCTGCGTCCGTACCTGGGCGCCTATGGCGAAAGGTACGACGTCGTCCTGTTGCCCGTTACTCAGAAGAGCGGGCGCGGACTTGGTTTCCACACAAAAAAAGAAGGGGGGGGGGACCCTTCTCTCTCTCTCTCTCTCACACACACACACAAACACACGATGTATAGATCCACCTTTGAGGGTGGATTCTTTTGCTCACGACCAGACTGTCGAGGTTCAACCTCCTGATGAGTCGGCGCAAGTCCGACGAAACAGTCTGGCACAATTGCACCCGTTCGTCCAAGACGAACGGGTGCTCTGGCTCTATGAATTTTGAGAAAAAGAAAGAAAAGAAAAAATCTAAACGAAATCTAAAAAAAAGGAAGAACACAAAAATCTAAAAAAAAATTAAAATAAAATCTAGAAAGAAAAGGAAAGGAGAAAAAAAAGAGAAAGAAAAAACCCACTTACCTCGTGGCTGAACAGTCGCCCGTTTAAACGGGCGCTTGCAGCCTTTCATGGGGATATTAAGTCCCGTCAGTTGTAATCGCGCCACCTGGCGCTATATTTTTAACTCGTTTTTTTTTCTTTATTTTCCGTTGGCTTATGCCAACGGCCTGTCACCTCCTCGTGGCTCGAGAACAAGGTCCCAAACCCCATGCCCGGTTGTAGCCACGTACTGCGGCAGATACATCCGATTTTGCTCATCCCATCACAGCAAGTCAACCCGTTCGTTTCAACGAACGGGCTCTCCTAGTAAAAATACGAACAAAAGAAAGAAAAAAAAATGTAAAAAGAAAACCCAAAAATCCAACTAAAGAAAATCTAAAGCAAAATCTAAAACAGGAAAATCTAAAGAAAATCTAGAAAAAAGAAGAAAATCTAAAAAGCGAAACTCGCCTAAAAACGGTTGCCCGTTTAAAACAGGCGCTGTCACGTATACTGGGGCTGAAGTGCCCCAGGCACTTCCAAGCCTGACCAACTGTCACGTCGTGGGGCATCCCCACGAACTGTTAAAATACAGACCCCAATTCGAATCCATATGGATTCGATTTTTTTTTTTTTTTTTTTTTTTTTTTTTGACTTATGCGTGACATCCTTGTGCAGGGCCATGCTAACCTCCACGTGGTTGTTTTCCGCCACGCGATCTTACTGATCGCACGGCCGAAAACAGCCGTGCCAAAAGGCTAGGCTGCTCCAAAAAAAGTTAGCCCGGTAATTGCAGTTTCGCAGATTCGATCCTGGTGTCTGCTGGGTAATAGTCGGGTGTCATGACCTACTGGGCTATCTCCTATCACAACAGTGATAGAAGCAGCTCTTCTATATGAAGAGCTCAGCCCTATCCCTATCGCTATTCCCCAAGTCATGGCCTTGCAGGCCGTGCCTGCCTGTGGCCCGGTAGGCCCAGCCTGCCTGCCTGTGGCCTTGCAGGCCCTGCCGGCAGGCCGCGTGGCATCGGCCTATCAGCCCCGCGGCTCAATGTCAACCTCCGCGGCCCAAACAAAAACTCCCCGTTCCTTCTACGCCGCGGCCCTATACCCGGCGCATCCCCACTTTTTAGCCCATTCAAGCCCTGAATCGTGCGGCTTAACAGCCGCGTGACATTATTTTAGGTAGAATAGGTTTAGTTTTTCCGTCCCCATGTCCGCATATTCCCGGCTCCGACAAAAGCAAAGCATTACCATACTTGGACGTCACTCGCGTTCGGACTAACTTTCGAAAACTTTTAGTCCATTAGTCATAGGTCAGGTCTGAATAAACTTTTGGCAACGTCCTTTCATCAAGTCCTTCAATTCAACGAAAGAGTCACACAACGTGCGACATTGAAAACCCCCCGGCAAATACCCTTGTTAGGGTATTTGCCCCGACAGCGTACGCACACAAGTCTACTGTGTTAGTGGCTGGGAGGGCATTCAAGGCAAAAGGGTGGGTGAGTTCCCTCATCAGTGGTCTCGATCTACTCAAGATCGGGGTTCTAAAGGTATCCTTTGTCATTTTGTCCAGACCCACGATTCCCTTAACCTTTAACCATTTCTGCCACACTGTGTGTTTTTGAATTTCTAAAGCCTCCAATTTTTTTAAGGCTTTAGCTCTCTTCTCAGACCAATAGTATTCAAGAAATGGGTCCTCTCCAACATAGGCTTCCGCCTGTACAATCTCCTCCTGCAATTGTTTTTCTTTCCACTTGCGAGAAGCGGCTTTCATTCGTGAGAATTTAATCATTGCTGACTGTAGGATCCCTAGTCCAACATCCACCCATTCTTTAGGGTCCTCAAACAAATTTTTTGCTAATTGTCAATCCTTCATCTGCTTATCGACCCACTGCAGTATCCCTGGATCTTTCAAAATAGATACATTCAATCTGAATGGTGGTCTATGCCTGTCTACTATATTTTTTGCTATAACATGCATTACCGCTGGGAAGTGATCAGACATTGAATCTATTGGGACCTCCACCGAAGTACAACGGTTCCATGGGTCTCCTCTTGCCACGATAAAATCAAGTCGTCTTTTCGGGCGGGCGGCATTTGGAGAGGGTCGAGGGCCCTGCCACGTGAAACCGTGTACCTCAGGGTTTAGTGTTGTGAAAACGTCAGTCAAGTTTTGGGATTCCATAAATGAATTCAGAAGTAAAGCATCCTCCCTTATTTGAGATATATTTGGAGAGTCCAGACCCAGGTTCATTGTGCAGTTCCAATCCCCCAATAGTATTAAATTATCAGTATCAGGAATAATTTTAGACAGGTCTGCGAAAAGTTTTATCCTCTTGGTATAGTCTACTGGGGCATAGATAGATACAATTGCCCAGTCTTCATCAGCCACAACTAACTTGAGCCATGCCCAGCGGGCCTCCGCATTTGCACAAGTGTCTATTACATCCACTTCCAGAGTTTTGTCAATCAGAACTGCAACCCCTCCCTTAGTTCCATCTGCGGGAGCCCAAACTTGAGGACCTCTCCACCAGTTTGAGATTTTTGCCATTTTATCCGGAACTATTTTGGTTTCATGTAGACAGATAATGTGGATGTGGTTTGTGTGGTCCCAGGAAGACAGGCGTTGTCTTTTATACCGTTCGTCCTGATCGCCAAGTCCACGAACATTCCAACTAGCGAGGTTTATTTTATTCGGTAAGACCATTACCGCTAGTTGGGCCACTCAGGAGTTGGATGTGGTTTCTCTGAACTGTGTTGTCTTCTGCTTCCAAGGTTGCTTCAGAGTGGAGTTCACCCACTGAGAAATTGAGATTTTTTCCTATTCTCTTTTTATGCAGAAGATTTGTGAAAGCATCTGAAAGTGTTTCAGCTAAATTGTCCGAGTGGACTAGCCAATTAGCCATAGCTTGTGTTGTTAGTCCTGCGACCAACTTGATACCCTGCATCGTACTAGACTGGGCATTGGCCAAGTGGGCGAGCTCTACCCAATATATCTTTAGCGAGTCTCATTTGTGTTTGTTGTCTGTGACGTGTGCCAGGTCTCCACAAGCTAGCATGAGTCCCACCTTCCCTCCATCTGGTGTGTCCGCTAGGTGACGTGTAACCTTCGGGTCCGGAAGCAATCCCACCTCCCCCAAATTTTGCAGAAGTTGGATTTTTATCAGGTTGCAGATCATAGTGGGGGAGGGATTACTACGCAGGATCAAGGATGGGAGGGCTAATGATTCGTCCTTATTCATCAAGGTGAGGAATTTTGGTTTTTCTCCATCGTGGGCGCAGATCAGTGGGACCAAATAGTTAAGAGTATAGCCCTTGTTTTATCTACCCTGGTAAGGGTTCGCATCGGGGCTGCCATGGCCAAGGAGCGACGAGCCGAACGCAATATTTGAGATCTACCCCTTTTTAGAGGGGAGCTTCATGCTATCTCCTCACCCCCTCCTGATTCCTTTTCGTCTTTGAGCCCTAATTGGGGGTTTTGTCCCTCAAGACGGGGTCTTTTAGTGGGGGTGGGGGACTTGAGAATCGCGAAGCGCGACTGCGTGACATTTCCTTTACGTGAGGTAAGTGTTTCGGCCGGTGACATGAAAACGAAGGGTGGTGCCGATTTTTCACTCTTATGAGTCTTTTCTGCTTTCGTGTTCCTTGTTCCATTTTCTGGCGAATCAAACATGCCCTCTGGGGGGGAGAAAAGTTCTTGATCTGATTTCCCTTCAAACTCCTCTGCTCCTGGGGGTATGTCCTCCTCGACGTTTTCAGTCGGCAACAATACCTTTCGTCCTCCAATTACTGCCGAGCAAATTTTAAGCCCCTTATCTGCTTCATCCTTGTCAACTACAATTTTCGCTCTGGCTTCAAACATTCTGTTC